TGCGGCTTCGTAGCTACCAAAGTCGTACTACAACATTTTGACAGATTTCTGTAGCACATAAAATCGGTTCGAGGTCAGTAAGCACAACCAAAATTCATACATAAGGCACACTGTCGATTTTTAAAAAAATTAAAGGATTTTAAGTGATCCTTATAGTGCGGAATATACAGTATACAGAAGAAAAGAATATATCGTGAGATATATTGTTACCGTACATGCTTCAAATTATACCGCGATATGGATTTTAGGCCATACGTCTAAATAAAACCATAAAGATTCCTAACAACTCTATTACATCTAAAGAGTTACATTTGTTAAAATGATAACATGACAATGAAATGCTGTTGAAGGCGATGTTTCCAAATGCTATCCAAGAAATGCATTTTACTGGCGCAGTGACCGTAGCTGCTTCAGTCTGGAAAGTAAAAAAACCTCAGTCCTTTCCATGAATGGAGACTATAGAGCGCGAGAGAGACGAGTCCCTCCAAGAGTCCTGAATTAAAGTCTGAGAGAAGTCAGCACCCACAAGTTTAAAACAATATTTTCATCTGCATGTCTGCCTGTCAGCGACACCTGAATATCCCAATGAGGCTCAATAAAGGATATTTCTGTTCTGAGCTTAGATGGTGATTTTATAGACACTGTAAACACATTGTTTTCTAATTCTATAAAAACTTACTGGCAGCTTAATTTACTATGAAAGGTATTAAGTAAATAACTATAATAGAACAAAAGTACGACTGTGGATCAGTGTGATGTCTGTGACAGTGCTGTGTTTCATCCAGCCGGACAAACTGGTGAGAAGTCCGAGCTGGGATGTGTCAGATGTCAGCGCTAACACTGATGTCAGTGCGTTTATGGGAAAACGTTTGCTGCTGCTCATGAGGAATGAAGGGTTTGTGTGTCCGTGTTTGTGCGTCCGTGTTTGTGCGTCTGTGTGTGTGTGTCCGTGTTTGTGCGTCTCCGTGTGTGTGTGTGTGTGTGTGTGTCTGTGTGTGTGGTGACTAAACTACAAGCTCACAGGTCACGTTGAGTCTGAGCAGCTTCTCTGGTTTCTCTGCAGATGCGACCTCTGAATGTGGACGGCTCTCTGAACCTGCTGGGGCTGGAGACCGTGCGTCTTATCTACTTTAGAAACAAGATGGCCGGTAAGATCGCTCTCTGTGCCGTGTGAGGGGAAGAATTCGTCCTCAGTCT